TTGTAGACCCTCAAGGGACCAACACTACGCTTCTTCCATCGGTTCAATTATGTATGCCATGTTATGTACTAGACTGGACATCTCGTATGCCCTAAGCATGACAAGTAGATATCCGTCAAACCCAGGTGATGCTCACTGGGTAGCAGTGATAAATACTTAAAGTATCTGAGAAGAACTAAGGATATGTTATTGCTATATAGTTGTCAAGAAAGATATCTGTCTATCCAAGGGTATAAAGATGCTAGTTTCCAAACTGGTCGTGATGACTTTAAATCACAATCAGGATATGTGTTTGTATTAAACGAAGAAGCTGTGAGGTGGAAGAGCTACAAGCAAAGTACAATAGCAGACTCAACTACAGAATCAGAGTATATTGCAAAGTTGAACGCCGCGAAGGAAGCTGTTTGGATGAAGAAATTCATCAAAAACCTAGGAATGGTTCCTAGCATATGTGACTGTGTCGAGATTTATTGCGACAATAAAGGTGGCAAGGTGCCATAGCTCAAGTGAAAGAACCAAGGTCACATCAACGCCTCCAAGCATATTCTAAGATGATACCATCTGATTCGAGAGATCAATGATCGAGGTGACGTGAAAATATGTAGAGTTCGATTAGAAGATACTCCAGCAAACCCTCTAACCAAGACTATAAGTCAAAGCAAGCATGATGCTCATACCAATTCAATAGGCTTGAGGTTTTGCAAAACACTAGTTTAATTTGTAGTTTTAATAAACTTTAAATTACTTGAACATAAAACAACTATGTTTTCATCTATTTTAGCATATTGGATATGAATATTTGCATTAAACATTTATGTGTTCATTATTAGCATGTTTAAGTATTCTTAAATAAAAATGATGATCATATTATTTAAATCCGTCCTTGATCAATTATTACCAAGGGACTGGTAATAAATAAAGATCATTGTGAAGTTTTGGTCATAAGTCCAAGTTGGAAGTGCACTGGGTTGGCTTGCGGCACATGCATAGCTACCCCGTTTAAAGCCATTTAACACCAAAACTTCCCTTTTTTATGCATTAAATCATTATCTACATCATTATCTAGCACATACTGCATTTAATTCCAATTATGACGATAAACCATACTTTTGATTCATCAGTTTGAATTTTAGCGGCTTCGGTGAGAAAGGTAGATACCGTGAATGATCACAAGGGCATGTAGGAGAGGCATGCCACTACCAACATGGCATAAGAAACTAAGAATAGACATTGAATCCTTAGACATTTTCGATGACATGACCTAAGATAGGAGTTCTAGAGATGCAATATTAGGGTAGCAGACTATGAATAAAGACTCGTAGTTAGTCTAAACTGGGAGGGAGAGATCTTAAGAGGTAGAAGATGGGGTAGTGTAGTGATCTAAGAAATTGGTAACCAACGTCCTAAGACGAATCTTAAGAGGTAGAAGTGGCGGGTAGGGTGGTGAGGCAAGAAATTGGCTACCAACGTCCTAAGATAGATCAAAAGAGATTTGTTGGTGTACCTTTACTATGTGCCTGATGTTGAGCATTCATGCACATATTTTATATGTAAAATCCCTATATTTATATCATTTTGTCCTTAAAATATGTCCACCTAAGTCCCTTATTATGTATATTATTGTATAGGAGCGAAAAAGACTTCAAACTGAAGAAACATGGCTAAATAGAGTCTTTCGCGACCTCATGACCGAGGTCGTGCTAGATGTTGCCCAACCTTTTATGGAGCATAGTTTTACAAATAATTGTGAGATTAAGAATATTTTCCCAAATATCAAACAAACCGGACGTATTTTTTAATAACGAACATGCATAGTTATCCAAAAATGGAAGACATACTTTTCAAAAAATAACGATTGACAGAGGCATACATTTCAAATAACGTACCAATTAGCAAGGAGATGGTTTTGAGGGGTTTTAAGGGTTCAATCCTTCATCCTTGGGGGAGTCACTTCTTAAACGAATTTCAGGAGCAAAAAAGAAGACTTGGAAGCAATTTCTATTATTTCTCCTTCAATTAGTTTGAAGTAGTTAAGTTTTTCATTCCAACAATAGTCGGACTTTAGATCGTTGATGTATTTCATTTGAGATTCCACTCAAAATATGTGGAACAAGTTTATTTGCTTGGCATCTTTTTTATAGTTGAATGTCAATCAATCTGGCCAATTGATTGGTGTTTTGTGGGAAATTGTTATTCAAAGCCCCATGCACGTAATCGTATAGAGATCTTGATAAAATAGCAACTTAAATCATTTGACATCAATAAGGTTTTCAAATAGATTTATTAAATTCTCGTAATCAAAGCTCTAGTAAGCCATGCTTGCAAGCTTATCATTTTGAATTGGTGATTTCTTTAACTCGATAATTCTAATTGCATGCACTTGAGAATTTGAGAGTTTGTTCAAACTCTCATCTATGGTTAAGATTTGGTTAAAGAACTTGTTTGATCAATATCAATATATAGGGAAATTCAAGTTGTTAGAGTTTGTTTTAGATTTGTTTAACCATTTTGCACAATAAGAATCAATGGCAGTGGTTACATTACAATCGAAAATGTGATATTGGTGGAATTTTAGTTTATATTGGTTTTATTCGTATGCATAGTTTAATTATTCAAATCCAAATCCCCCTCGTTGCTAAAGTGTAGAAGTAAAATAATTATCACAATCAATCCATGTGGATTCAACCTAACTTGCTACTATTGCAATATTGGTTGTAATAAAGGATTTTGTTTTTTTTTTATTAACCTGAATATCCAATCCGCTATGCGAGCTAACTAATTTTAGGATGACCATCTGCTTTACAGATAGCCCGGAGTAACCGCATTTGAACCTTTGTGGCCACAAAGGGATTTTTATTGCTCCTTGGATATTGAACCTGGGACCTCCTGCTTTGCTCCAAAGGTCAAAAGTACCAGGAGGTCCAGGTTCAAATCCAATGAGGAATAAAAATCCCTTTGTGGTTACGGAGGTTCAAATGCGGTGACTTCGAGCTATCTGCAAAGCAGGTGGTCGTCCTGAGATTAGTCAACTCGCATAGCTGGTTGAATATCCAGGTTAATAAAAAAAAGATATTTAGTATTATTATTTGCAAAAACTTTGACGGGGTCAAATTTGCATGTGCACTAACCATGGGCGGACCTGATGTGGTGCCATGGGTTGCACGTGCCACCGTATTATTTCACCGCCGAAGGGTAAAAAATTTATGTTTGTTAACGGTGCTACCATATCGTTTTAAAAGGTACTACCGTATTTCCCTGAAATCCAAATGGTGCAATTAAAACCCAAACAAAACAAAGCCCAAATAACCAAAACCATACTTTTTGTAATTATTTTTGGATATATATTGACCGTTTTCAAAAGAAGAACACGCGTCGGGTACAAGTTTAGAAGTTGTTTATCGGTACTTAGGGCTGTAAACGAACCGAACGAACACGAACAGAGGCTTGTTCATGTTCTTTCGTTTAACTTGTGTTCGTGTTCGGTCGTTTAGAAATAAGGTGTGTTCGTGTTCGTTTATGTCCGTTCGTAAACATGCTAAATGAACGTAAACRAACAGGCTAAACGAACATAAATAAATATTATTTGAATTCAAAGTAAATAAATAAAAGATAATATATTAAACTTAATATATAAACGAACATAAACGAACGAATATAAACGAACGTAAACGAACGGTAAATGAACGAATGAGACTCTTGTTCATGTTCGTTCGTTTAACTAAACCAATAAAAAATAGGTCATGTTCGTTCATTTATTAAATAAACGAACTTCCCTTCGAACGGTTCGCTGAACGTTCGGTTCGTTTACAGCCCTATCGTTACTATAAAAACCATATTTTTTGTAATTATTTTTAAATGTATATTATACTATATTAATTATATGGTGCTACTGTTTGAAAAAAATTTGGGTCCGTCCCTGGCACTAACTTATGATAATATGATTACATGGTGTTCTCACTTTTCACTAGGCTTAGGGGCTGTGAAAACTTAATGTTTATCGGGTAAGCGTCTATTAGTAAAAGACATCATCCTTATTTACCTTAATATATAACATTCTCGGTCATCAAAATGAATTGTTGGGAAGTGTCTTAACCCGATAAGCTCTTATCGAGTAAGTGTCTTTTTCCCTCACTTGCCGGTTAAGATTCTCGATCATTATCATACTCAATCGGTAAGGTAAGTGACATTGATATGTGTTTATCTAGTAAGTGTTCTTTTCTACTAGTCTCTACCCTTAATCTTTTATCTTTCTTCCAATTCTCCTCATTTTTCAAGTTGTTCGAACTTTTTGCAAGCCAAGGTATTCATGAAAACAACGGCTCTACTCTCCAGGTAAACATGTCTATCTAAATTCCACCCCATCTGATACATCCATATAGAGGTTCCAGTTTAAGAAATGCATTAAACTTTTTTTTATTAACCTAGATATCCAACCCGCTATGTGAGCTGACTAATCACAGGACGATCACCTGCTTTGTAGATAGCTCATAGTCAGCACATTTGAATCTCCGTGGCCACAAGGGGATTTTTATTCCTCCTTGTATTTTTACAAATACTTATAAAAACTATCAAACTTTAAAAACCCAATATAATAACTATTCAACTTTAAAAAAGCTATAGGAATCATATAATTCTCAAAAAATTTACTCAAAATATCAACCAAATGACCATTTTTGAAGTTGATAACTAATTGAAGTATGAAAAGTTGTTAGAATTTACTAGGATTTGACCACACAACACATGAATTTCTAGAAGATTAAGAAAAATAAAAGGAATATAAGTAATAAAATATTGTCTTCCATCTTTTCATTAAATCAAGGAGACAAACAACATTACATACAATATCATTATTGTCAAAGAGACTCACATGGGATAGTTCAAAAATATTATTCCCCACACACCCTCCTTTTACATACATACATACATGCATATATATGTATGTATGTATGTATATATTTCTGTAAAAACTAAATATATAACTGTAAATTAGTAAAAAAAATGTCAGTAAATATATGTTTCTTCAATTTGAAGATCAATAAAAGAATCATCAAGAAAATAAAAGATTTATCTGCAGAAGCTCCAAAGATAGATATCATCACCACCTTCTTCTTCATAAACATCTTCCATGGTTGTCGAACAAGAATGATCAAACTCAAAGAACGACGTATCGAGCATCACATCGTTGTACGTCGGTGAATCGAAGTTGTACCATGGTGCAACCATCGACATCAAGGTGCCATCAAGAGGATCATTTGCGGAAAACAATGTTTCCTCATCTTCTATTGGATTGGTTGGTGGTGGCGTAGAGGCGGAGGAGGATAACGATGATGAGTATGATGGTGATGGAACAGTGTCGGTAACAGTTGCAGCTGCTGCCGCGATCTTTTGGATGGATTTGGGAGACATGATGGGAGTGGAATAGTCGTGATTGTATTGGGTATGAGAAAAGTTGAGATTTGCGGTGGGACCCTTGAGGCAGAGGAGGGCTGCATCATAGGCTCTCGCTGCAGCTTCAGCAGTCGAATAAGATCCTAACCATATCCGTGTTTTTTGATTGGGTGCGCGAATCTCAGAAACCCACGAACCCCAGCTCCTCATTCGTACTCCTTTGTATTTCTTCTTGCTAATCATCGAAGACGATGTTTTCCACGATTCCGTTTGAATCTCTTGCTCCTTTTTCACCATTTCTTTGATCGAATACGTGATATCTAAGAAATTTAACACCACACGATGCGATTCTTCAATCGACCCCTGTTTGTTTCTTGATAGCAAATAAAATCAAGTTTTTTTAATAAATAAATAAAAATGAAATTCGGTGTGGAATTGATGCAGAAGAGTATTGGTGAAGATGAAATGAATGCAAGTTCTTGTTGTATATATATAGTCTTCAAGTGAGCAAGAGCTAGTGAAATGGGTGACAGGGTGTTTTTATTTTGCAAATATTAAATTAAGTAGGGAGACCTATAATTACTGATTTACCCTTGGATTTTGCATTTGTTACATAAACACCCCCCTTGACCATCATTTTTTGTTCTTGGATAGTAATACGCATCTGTTATTCGAATTATTGTATCGAAATACAGTCTGCACGACCGAAAGTTTTCACACTCAAATATTTTATGCATCAGTTCCTCATGTAGGCACAAATGTAAATCGCAAGTTCTAGAAAGTCGTTTTTTTAAATTAAGACGTGTCTTCAAATAAGATGATTGAATGTAGATAAATATTACATGATTACTTATCTAATTCAGTTATTGCTTAAATGTTAAAGAAAACAAACAAAGAGACATTACTTAGTAACTGAACGAATAAGTCATTAAGCCAGAGACATTACTTAGTAACTGAACGAATAAGTCATTAAGCCAAACGACAAATAGAAACTAATACATTGATGGGCTTAAACTATATATACTGCTAAACCAAAACAAACTAACCAGCTATATTCCACTCGTACGTAAGTAGAATGCATGCAAATATGTTTTCAAATACGAGACTTTTGCAAGAGATGAGTAAGAAAAGAGTAGAAGAAATTACGGTAATTTCTTCTTCTTTACTTTGTCGAAAAGACAAGTGTATGTATAGGCTAGAAATGCAGATTAAAAACCTTGGGGACTTATTGATACAATTGTTGAACTTCAAGGGTTGCATATGAAACTTATAATGTTCAACTGTATATACATGAATTGACTAGCTATAAGTATATGTCCAAATAAATTATTGCAACAAGTAATATTAACCATATCTTTTAATAAATATTAAAAGGGTACTCGTGTAATATAGTGAGATATATCTTTATTTTAATGTTTTGTTTTATTTTTTGTCTTTATTTATATATATTATGATTTATGTGGTTTTAATCAAGATAATGTTTTTACTTTTGAATAAAAATAAATTTGAAGATATCATAAAACTTTGAAAAAGTATATCGATATTAATATCAAATTAATTATTTAAAAGTTCTAGTTTTTTTGTAAAATTTCTGTAATTCAATTTTTTATTTTAATTTAATTTAAGTATAATAGCGAAGTAATTTATTTTTGGCTTAACAATATATTTTTATAAAGATAATGATTATGTTAGAACTCAATAATTATTCTAATTATATTTTAGATTTTTTATATTTAAATTGAGATGTTTATTTTGTATTTGATTATGTTTATCCACGGTTAGTTATACAAAATCAAAAATGGAGTTTTAATAAATTGTAGTTATGCACAATTTACTTGTAATCTTAAATTTTAAGTAATATGCATTAATAAAAAGTACTTCATGCATAAAGAATTGTTTTTAAGAGTTTTTATCAAATGTTTTATAATATAGTATAGATAAAGTAATAATAACAAATATGGATAAATAATAACAATTATATGTAAACATACTAAAAATAAGTGATTATATAGAAGGTGGTTCAAATACTAACCCATTTTTTTGTGTTAACTCTACTAACCAACATCAACCAATCACATTTTTTCTTTACTTTATGTTCAAATGTAACTTATAAATTGAATACGAGGGTCATTTTGTAATTTGACCTTTATGTAACTCCCTAATAATTATTTGGGAGTTACAAGTCTTTTAAGATCCCTCTAATTGATCATGAGGTAATTCCGATGTTCATGGTGTTCATATCCATGTAATGTCCATGAACATTCACCGTGTTCATATAAATGTTCACCGTGTTCATGCGATGCTTTTACAAAAGTACCCTCTGAACCGTTGTTCATAGGCATCTCAATTAATATATTAATTAAATGATTATTTTTATTGTCTCATTTAATTTGGACCGTTTGATGAGAAAATGAACGATCAAGATCGGATTAACATAGTTTACACAATAGTTTTGGTTAGTATTTGAACCAGCCTCAGCACACCTAATACACTCATTACAGATTTTTTGTTTTAGTTTGAATATTATTATTTTTAATTTATTTAACAATATGATAAATAAAAAGTATATACTTCTTAAACGATCATTTTGTAAAAAACAATGTTGGTGAATACTCAAATTCAATGTTTTATTGTTCATAACAGTAAAATGATGTAAAAATTGATGAGTTTGTTGGAGGTGATTTAATAATAAAAAATTAGGTATAATACAAAATCTTGTACCCTCATGGTTTAAACGTACCTCTATCTATTAATGTATTATTTTTTCTCACGCATATTAATATCATTATTTATTTTTTATATTTTCAGTAAATAAATTACCGTGAATTAAAAGGTGCGTAAATTAAATTATATATTTAGCATAATGTCTAAAATATCCCTTTGATAAATATTAGAAAGAATGTTAGGTTTATCCAAATGCATATAATTATAATTATGATTATAATTATAATTATAATTATAATTATAATTATAATTATAATTATAATGTAATGATTTTTAGATGGAAAAAGGAATGTAATTTTGATAAGAAGTTATACAAGTGGTATGTATCGTTGCATGGTTTTTGACTTGGAGAGCAAGTCACCATCCACATGAGTGATTAAAGAAAAGGGAACAGGAAAAGAAACAATAACAAAAAAGACAGGGGGGCAAATTAGTAATTTCATAAATGTACAACACATGGGTATTTTATTTAATTGATTATATTATTAAAGGGAGATGAGAAAACATTTGACATAGGATTCTGTACTTGTATCATCTCATGTACGTAGCTTCCTGGATTTTGCATTAACTTGTACACAAATTATTCTTTAATCACAGTTTTTCTAGTTTAATTACTATTATACTCTCTCTATATATATTTCTTTTATTAACCTAAATATCCAATCTATTATGCGAGCCGACTAATCTCAGGACGACCTTCTACTTCACAGGTAGCCTGGTACCACCAAAAAGTAGAAATGAAATGAGGGGAGGTTTCATCATCATGAAACTTATGTAACAAGTATGGGAAGAGGCTTTTAGGGTTGCAACTTCAAATATATTTGAGTACGTCTTCAAGTCATTAGTCGTTAAACTGTTTAGTTTCATTTGACAACAGGGTTTTTCCTTTTAGATTTATGCTTTAAAAAAGAAGAAGCAGAGATAAGATAGAAAATATTATAATAAATGTTTTAAAACATCATTTTATAACATGATATTAATAAAGTTAACATTTTAAACCCATATAATGCAATTATTATTGATTTTTTTTTGGAAAAAAAAATTCCATCTTATTTTTCCTTAAAATAAAAATAAAAAATTTATTTTTAAATTTAATTTAAAAAATTAAATGTATAAACCTCGTATTAGAAAAGGAAAAGAAAAGGAAGGAGCAAAAGACGCGCAATGGAACAGTAAACCCCTGTTGTCTTGTAAAACTAAATCCACCAGCTGTTGCCCTTCTGTCTCTAAAAAACCGCGTTCATTTTCTTTTTTATTTCCTTTTCTGCCCCTTTATCTTTTTATATATCCCCTTATCACCCCCTGATGTTTTACTTTTATTTCATTTAACCCCCCCCCCACTATCCACTTCTTTATAAGCAATTACATGTTAAACTTGATTTATCTTTAATACTTACTATAAAACAATCAATAATAATAAAAAAGACAAATCATTAAAACATCCCTTCATTATATTTTCAAATTTTATTGCTTCAACTATAAATACTATATAGTGATAAAGTTAATAATAATATTAATTGGTAGTGGCGGCAAGGGTGACCAGAGATGATATGTGGTGTTAGTAGCGACGACGGTATCGTGGCAACGACAAATACTGAATGGTGGCGGCGGTGGTGGCGGTGGCAATGGTGGTGGTCAATGAAATTGACTAAAATAAACATGGTCAATGAAATTGACTATTCCGATTCCTCTTCCTATTCCATTAGGTTCCAGAGAACCAAACATCATGTAAAATGTTAGAGAACTCGTAATACTTAGTTGGTCTTATAATGTCGAAAGTTTATATCACTACATTCGCGAAACAAGATTGTAGCTAGAACTTGACATACAGAGACTATAGTGAATTATTTTGGAGTCGTCATATGCCCAATACCCTCTTCTCAGTTTAGAAAACCCTGTAATCAAAATCTTTAAAACTACAAATATATATATATATATATATATACACACACACATATATATATATATATATATATATTATTTAAGTTTTACAATTTTTAAAACAATCCATCTAGTTTTAATTCAAATATGGGCATTAAAAATTGAGAATTTCCATGTAGAAAATGAAAATTTTGATACTTCCATTTTTTAAGAGACAAAGTGAACATTTCCCATGTGGCCACAAGCTTTCATACATTTAACTTTTGTACATAAAAATAAGAAGCTTTTTGTTTCTGTTTTTAAAATTCTCATTAAATACTTCAATATGATAGTTATTGGCTTCTTAACAGGTCTATTTTGTTATAATTGATAAATACATAACAAGAAATTTAAAGAGCGTAGCCTTGACGTTACGTTACGTCCCACAATAACCCTAAGACTAAAAACAAAGGATTTATTTAACAAGAGAATGGGTTGATTTAAATTAAGGGCTTTGGTGGGGTTGGTTGTTAATGAATACAACACCTAGATGCAAGTCATGTACCCAAAACAAGTCAACATCAAATACCTCATCTCAAAAGATTATGTACTTGATTGTACACATACCCTTGCTTTCCTTGAACCTTCACTCTTTGCCCATACTCCCTCAACCACTTTCTAAATCATTATCATATATTCAAAATGTGTTACAACTCAGAGTTAAATATATCTGTAAATATATCGCTGTTACAGATATAGATATATAAAACTGTTTAGAAAAATACGATGTT